TGCACGTCGATCGAATGTGGAAGGTATGGAGGCGGGCACTTTCCGCGCCAGCCATCTGATCGGAGTGGGGCTGCCACGAGACCCATGCACGCGTTGCTCCCGCCCGATAAGCGCGATAACGAGCGACACCTTGATGGGCAGCCAGAGCTTCCCCAGGTTACAACACATAGCTATCTCTTGATCGAGAGCTGTACGATAGTCCGCAAGTTCTGTCCCCATCTTCATCATGGGCAACAATCAGTCACGACCGTCCGATGCTGCTGTTAATGAGAAGTTGATGGAGCGACTCCAGGCGCTCCACATGAAGGATGAACGACCCATGAACGAGAAGGATGGATTTGTCGTTGTTGGCGGAGAGGCTCGTACGTTACATGACGTTGAGAATGGTATACCAAGTCTAACTGTCAAAGCACCTCGATACACCCCCGGCGTCAAGTACCAACAAGATGTATCTGCCGCGTCAGTGTCAGAGTGGGAGAAGGAGCTTATGGAAGACCCAAAGGTACTACACACAGCTCTTATACTGTCTCCTGCTTACCTCTGTAGAACCGCCTCGCTCTCGCAGCTCTTAGCTCCAACTCTGCCAACGCCGTACTCTCATCCCGATCCGCTGTCATCGCAGACACCCAGAAGTTCAACATCAAGATTCCCTTCGAGGGCTCGCCCGTCACAAATCAAGCCTCATCCGGAAGATGCTGGCTCTTCGCATCCACCAACGTCTTCCGCGTTGCGATCATGAAGAAGTACAAGCTATCCGAGTTCCAGCTGTCGCAGGCATACCTCTTCTACTGGGACAAGATTGAGAAGGCAAACTACTTCCTCGAAAGCATACTGGATACGAAGGGTGAGGAGATTGACAGCCGGATCGTGCAGGCGCTGATGTCCAGCCCTGTCGGTGACGGCGGACAGTGGGATATGGTGGCCAACCTCGTGCAGAAGTATGGTCTTGTACCGCACTCGCTCTACCCAGACTCGTTCAACGCGTCCAACTCATCTACCATGGACCGTCTGATTACGACCAAGTTGCGCGAGGATGCCGTCCGTCTGCGTGCTATCGCATCCAGCAACGCATCGCCAGACGCGATCAAGGCTACTATTGCTGGAGAGAAGGAGAAGATGCTGCGTGAAATTCACCTAATCCTGACACTGATGCTAGGACCTCCCCCGTGCTCTACCAAGCCGTTCACCTGGGAGTACTACGACAAGGACGGCAACTTCTGCACTGTCAAGACGCGACCCACTGCTTTTGCTAAAGAACTGTCCGACAACAAGACCGTCCGCGCGCTGTCTGGAACGGACGTGCACTCGCTCTTCTCGCTTGTCAACGACCCGCGCAACCCCTACAACCGTCTACTCAGCGTAAAGCGACTCGGCAACGTCTGGAACGGCCGCCCAGTGACTTATGTGAATGTCGACATGAAGACCATCAAGGACGCCTGCATTGCCATGCTGAAGAAAGGCATGCCCGTCTTCTTCGGCTCAGACGTAGGCAAGTACTCCGATTCCACCAAGGGAATCATGGACACGGATCTCTTCGAGTACGAGCTCGGCTTCAACATCAAGCTCGGCATGTCCAAGGCGGAGCGTCTGCAGACTGGTGAGAGCCAGATGACGCACGCCATGGTGTTGACGGCTGTACACGTCGTCGACGGCAAGCCCGTGCGCTGGAGGGTGGAGAACTCGTGGAGTGAGCGTGCAGGCGACAAGGGCTACTTTGTCATGAGCGATGCTTGGATGGATCAGTTTGTGTACCAGGCCGTCGTTGATCCCAGCGTTGTCAGCTCGACGGTTAAGAAGGTGCTCGAGCAGAAGCCGAAGATGCTGGAGCTGTGGGACCCGATGGGTGCGTTGGCGTGAGTGGATGTAGATTATGATACCTTTGATGAATTGATTGATGCTGTGAGAGAAGCTGATGGATGTAAAATTGAATGCGAATCTGATATGGAATGAAGTGCGCGTCTTTCGTTGCAGAGGGTGCGCAGTGCGGGCAGACAAGTGAGGTAGCAGTGTTGGATGGATGCTTCACCTACGAGGTTTGCCAGAGCTTCGACCCAGCAGTGGCTAATTACTTTCTATCTAATTGGTGGAAGTTGAGCAAAATGTTCAGGCTTAGTGAGACAGTCGCATCTTGATGTCAAGCAGCACACAAGGTGGTCTTTGGGATAGAGTTATCGTCGTCTGTTCAGTATGGCCCAACGGCACTTCCGCGTCTTGAACCCAACAGTAATCAACCACCATTCTTCCCCAACACAGCAGTAGTTCCTGGGTGTAAGAAGAGGGCGCTCTGGACGTCTGGGTGAATCTTGGGTGGGTTTGAGTTGGTGTGGGTGGTGATTGGGTACGTTGAGTTGGCAAAAAGCATGGAATCACATTTCTGTTCAATTGAAATGGTTCTGATACATTCCTACATTGCACAGAACGTGTAGAACAGCAAAAAGAAATTGTTTCCGACACCGGGAATCGAACCCGGGCCTTGCCGGCACTGCGCTGCTGTGAGGCTGCGAGCTTACTCTGCAATGAGAGCGGCAAATCCTAGCCACTAGACCATATCGGAAGTTGGTGGAAGGTAGACAAAATGCAAACAATATAATGAATGGAATTGAGATTAGAAGTAGTTCGGAACCAAGTTTGAAAAGATGCGAGTCAAGAAATCGGCCAGGGAAAAGTTGGACCAAGGTTAACTAGATCAAATCAAGCCCATATATTACAGACCCACAAAGACTCGAGGCTAGACTTTCAGCACTTGTAATGTATTTTATTGGACGACCTAGGTGCATACTACGTTGTATGTTGTTTGCGAAGCCACTGTTGACGCATGGCCGAGGAGGTCCTCAAGACACTTTCGGATTACGCAGGATATCTGGTATCCTGCTGAAGTACATCAGGCATCTCTATTGTATTCTGATCGTAATGTGAACAGCTTGTGATCACTTCCTGGCTTGAAAGCTTGTACCACGGTTCACGTACTATGTCATTCGACTAACAGCTTCGACTGCATACTCGCCCACCAAACGTAAATAGTTCACCCGAAAATGGACATATTTACCTGCGCTGAGAACTAGCTCCTATGAATTGGTGATCAATCAGAATAGTTCTCCGATGATGTGATGACTCCCGACATCGCCGCGTCCCGCCCCGCGAAACAAAAAGTTCCCCGCGAACACCAACTTCGACTGAACATAGCGGTCCTCCATTCCAATTTCCAATCTCTCTCATCCGCCCACCACGTACACAATGGTCGCAAAGAATACGGCATTCGATCTGCAGAAATGCGCGCGATCCAACATCCTCGCATTGGAGCCGTACCGATGCGCGCGCGAGTAGGTGAATATCCATGACTCTTACCGCGGTACCCAGCTCACGACGCGTAGCGACTACAAAGATGACGGCACCAACATCCTCCTAGACGCGAACGAGAATGCATACGGACCGGGACTACAATTAAATAGCGAGGGCAAGCTGCCTGGTGCAAATGTCAATGGCACCTCCGACTCATCTTCCGCGATTGATGTCGATTTGCTTGGCCTGAACCGATACCCAGATCCGTATGCACACCGCGACCGCTTGCATCGCACACGCTGACGGTCTTATACAGCCACCAAGAAGAACTCAAGCAACTGCTCTGCAACCTCCGAAATACCCACACTCACACCTCAAAGAACATAACACCCGCCAACCTCTTCGTTGGTGTCGGCTCAGACGAAGCGATCGATGCCCTCATCCGCGCCTTCTGCGTCCCCGGCAAGGAGAAGATCCTGACATGTCCACCCACATACGGCATGTACAGTGTCTCTGCGCAAGTAAACGACGTCGCGCTGGCCAAGATTCCCCTACAAACACCAAGCTTCGATCTCGACGTTCCCGCGATACTGAAGGCCATGGATGAGGACAAGAGCATAAAGTTGGCGTACCTGTGTTCGCCAGGCAACCCAACCGGAAAGCTACTCAAGAAGGAGGACGTGCAAAAGATACTAGAACACCCATGGAACGGTGTCGTGGTGGTGGACGAGGCATACATCGACTTCGCGCCAGATGGAACAAGTCTGGCAGAGTGGGTAGCTGAATGGCCCAACCTGGTAGTCATGCAGACGCTCTCGAAAGCATTTGGTCTCGCAGGTATTCGATTAGGTGCTGCGTTCGCCGACCCAGCGATCGCGCAAATCCTCAACAACATGAAGGCGCCCTACAACATCCCCAACCCAACAAGCCAGATCGCGCGCGCCGCCCTCAGCCCGAAACACTTGCAAGTCATGCAAAGCCACAAAGACCTCATCGTCAAGCAGCGCGACAGGCTGATCGAGGAGCTGCCCAAGATCCCTGGTATTGGAAACCTTCACGGCGGTGTGGAGTCGAACTTCCTGCTCTACCAGATACTCGACGCGCCGGTGGATCAGGGCGGTAAGCCATCGAACGAGACAGCGCTGGCGGTGTATGAGGGCTTGGCGGAAGAGAAGGGCGTGGTAGTAAGGTTCAGAGGCAAGGAGCACGGATGTCTGGGCTGCTTGCGGATAACGGTGGGTACGGAGAAGGAGGTTGATCGCTTCTTGCAGGAGATTAAGCAGGTGATTGAGGGTATTCACAAGAGCTCGGGCAAGCTGGGGAAGAAGGAAGAGCAAAGGAGGGAGAAGGAGGCTAATGATGTGGTTGCATAGAGGAGTGTAGGAGAAAGAGCCGCGATGACAAAGTACAAGTCCAAATGACCAGTCTAAACCAATGTAAGGCCTCAGTCTGAGTCAAAAGCACATTCTCTTTTTCATTAGGTAGTAGATTGCATCCCTTCTTGTTCTTGATACGTCGACTACTTGAGGTGAAAGTGAACTTCGGGCGTTTGCTCTTTAGCGCTCATTCCGTTTTGAGAAAATCATATCTCAGTCTCAATATTCCGCTGCTGCCTGGCTTCTCCTTCCTTCAGAGTCGCGCAAATTTTGTTCGTCGGCTACCTTCACTAATACTTTCAGACACCGCGTTGCGCCTTTCAATCATCGGTAATAGCAGCGCGCATGAACACGTCAAAGCAGGAAACTGGGCTTCAGGGCCTGCTCGCGGAGGGCCGGGCACTACAGAAGACTTTGGCGGTATTGTCTTCCACTTTTCATTCCTTTTTGGTGTTTGACGACTAACTTTTTACCAGACTGCGACGACGGACCACGGCGCGTATGTAGAGAAGTGCATCGAAGCGAATGAGCGCATTCTTGCCGCCGCAAAGGGTGTGACCACAGCGTCTGTCTCAACTCAAACTGCGTTAGAGGGCGTAGAAGAAGCGAGTACAGTCAGCATTGCTAGAGCCCCAGGCGGTCATGCCATTGTGCTCGTTCTCATCGATGGTACAAGCCACCAGGTATGTGACAAACCGCTGGCTTTGATCACGATCTGACATCTCAGCAGTTTCTGGATGAACTATACCGCAATAAGATGTCAGGAGGAGCTGAGACAGCGAAGCGTCTTCGTGCTGTCGTGGGCGAGAGAGTTGCAGCCATCCTTCCCGCAGTCGCACGAAGCGGGTACCATATCTTCATCAAGGTTTTCGCCTGCCTGAAGACTCTCTCGACCCGCGCTGCCGCAGCTAAGCTCACGTCTCCGGAGCCTAGATCCCTTGGGTTTCACTTCGGCGAATTCACCAAGGTCTCTTCCTTCTTCGACTTTGTGGACACAGGCGATGAGGGTCATGTACCGACGAAGATCAGTGGTAAGGGTTTTCTTCTGTGATAAACATTCGATGCTGACATGCCTGGTGTAGAGAATTTTAGATTCTATATGGCGGACCCGAATTGCAAGCATGTTTTCTTTGCCGCTGCGGGTTCGCCTTTGTACCGCCGAGCACTATATCCCTATCGCGACCAGGCTAAGAAGGTGACACTTGTGCGTGGCACGAGCAATACTGGCGTGTTAAGTGAGCTGGGGTTTCCTGTTGTGACATTCGGCAATGTGTTCTCTCTACCTTCCATTGGTAGAGTCAACCATGGAGATGCAACGCAGGTTGACACTACCATAGAGTCTGCCGTGGCTGGTACTGTTGCAGTGCGTTGAGTTCATCATTATGTCACAAGTTTCTACTAACCATGTCTCAGAAAGCACGTTCCACGAGCAACACAAGTACTTCCACCAGTCTCATCGATGTCAGTGGAGATGTCGAGACTGTGGGGGCTACGTTATACGAAGGCAAGTTGCCATCCTGCTACATTGACGGCCGCCTACCCGTGAATGCGGCAGAGCAGCGCATCGACATTTATGTGCCCAAGCCACCCGCAGCGGAAATCGATATCTACAAGGCGCACTACAAACGGGATAAGCTGTGCAACCAACACCATCTAGGCAATTCCTGCACCATCGCAAAATGTCGATACTACCACGGCGTGTTGGAACCCGAAGCATACAGGGCGCTGCAGTACCAAGTGATTCGCCACCCATGCAAAAAGGGTGGCCTTTGCAGATCTTCAAATTGTTTCCACGGACACGTCTGCCAGAGCGAAAAATGCGCTGTAGCAGGCAATAAGGTTAGGGGATGTATAATGCCCGCTTCGATGCACGGGATGGATCTTAAGGTCGCTGACTGGGTGGCCCCATCGAATGACAAAGTGAAGAACAAAGCTAGGCTGGCTGCACCGACCAAGATGGAAGATCTCCGGCCGTTCGATGATATCGGAGACCTTATCGACTTTGACTAAGGGATGTCTGTCTGACCAGGCGTGTATTTTACCTGGACCTGAATACTGGAGTAAGGATTAGAAGGACATATGTAGATGCCCGAGATGATGAACCACGAACCCAATCAGGAAGACCGAGGAAGCGCTTTGTAGGCTACATATACCCAGGGATGACACGCCTATTGATCATAGGGGAACGCGCCTTGGGCTCGGATTCGTTGTAGGCACGTATACCATCTATGGATGTGCGTCGATATTGGAGGGCTAGAAGCAACCTAGTAGATGGAATAGCCAATACATTGAAAAACTAAAGACCGAAAAAACCATCCACGATGATTGTTGAATGTGGTGCATGACTGAGATCTGAACGGTGTAGATGACCTCATGTTCCCATGGCTGCCAAGCCTCCATCGCCGAGGCACGAGTTCGCGCCAGTGAACCTTCCAACGCGAACACCACGCGTCCAACCACCTCAATTTTCCGGACTCGTGTACCAACGCCCACCCCGAATCACTTCTCGCGCTTCTGTCTGGGTGAACACTCGATCTGAAACCTTTACATGATCCTGCAGTACCCGAGACTGTCCAGTAGTAGTAAGCAAAATTCTGAAGATGCCCGCTGATGACTTCTGGTGCTCGAACAGCACACGCAGGAAAGCATCGCACCATTGCGCACCAGCGCCAAATGCGAGGTCGTTGAGGCTGTCAATGACGCATATACTGAGGTGTGGAGTTGCTGCCAGGAGTGCTGAGAACAACCCGAGAGCTGCCGGCCAGCTTTCATCTGAACCATCCAATCCGCGTAGCGCGTCTTCAGACACTTCGAAGTTGTCTTTGTCAAACTTGAATTGCAACAGCTGAGACGTTAGGCTGTACACCAGACCGATGAGGCCGACTTTCTCCACGTCGCGATCCGTCCCAAGGGTCGCGAACCGAGGCCGCTCGCAAAAATGCGATATCATTGGCATCTCCGCCTCCCAAGCAACAATCAGCATGTTCAGTGCAGCTGCATATGAACCTGGACGATCCGGCTGCAGAACGTTATCACTCGATATCCACAGTGTCATGGAGATCACTTCGGGATCGAACCAGGCGCGAAGCTTGCACCCTATGTCGGCGCCAGGGAGCCAGAACCGACCATCGTTGAGAAGCGAATAGCCTTCGTGTCCTACGATATGCGCTTGTAACCCAACTGCAAAGTCTCTCGCTCCCGTTCGGCTTATACCGCTGGCGTCCTTCCATACCTCTTTGTACGATATCACAGTGTCCTGCTGTGCGGACCTCCCGGATCGGGTGCGGGCTCGAGACTCAATACATCTCATTCGGAATGAGCTCAGGAGCATTATATGTGCTAGCTGCCCTGGACGCGACACGTTATGAGTGGGGTTTTGCTGCCGCTGACGGAGAACCTCATCGCGCCGTTCTGTCTCGGTACAAAACCATTTTACCCGGGCGGTGTTCGCGATGTTGTTCTCCCTATACATCTCGTTCAGCATATCCTCGATCTTGTCTTTTGCCTTTCTGTATCGCTCTCCCAAAGACTCGTCGAAACTTGCGAGGAAGCGAGACGTGCGCGACTTCTTGTACCATTCTATGACATCGCGATAGAAGAGGAGGACCTGTGCATAAAGTTCGGAGAGGAGCCTGTGCATCGCTCGTGTACGAAGAACAAGCAGAATGTTGCTTGCCCGTGCTGCTTTCTCGGTGACCGTGGTTATCGCATCCGAGATGTCGTCAGCGATTTCGTCGTGATTTACAGCAGCACGGACGATAAGAGAAATTCCACCACACAGTACAGATGCGTAACCGGTCTGCGATGGGAAAATGTCGAATACGCCTTTGTGATCGTCTAGTATTCTACAAACATCTCGGAATCGCTGGAAAAACCGACCGGACTATGACATCAATCAGTATCCATCGATGGTTTTTGTGGCCTCTCTCAACTTATTGGGCACTGCTAACCTTTCCTTGTTTGCTTTTCCATGTTGCCTCTAGAGTGCTGACATACTCATGTAGCTGGGCAAATCCATGAGCAGCTATGCCTTGTATAGCCTCGTTCGCCTTCATTTGCGCTGTCTTCCGGCTCATTCTCGCTTTTACTAACGACGATGGCGATTCAGGCGCTTCGAAGTCAATGCACACTCTCGCCAATCGACATTTAGCGTCTTCTACGGCGTCGAAAACGGAATCACTGGTCGGCACGATCAGCCTGAGGTATTACATGGCCTGTCCCTTATGCAAACCTTGCGTTGTCGTCCTGGAACAGCTTCCGCATTCTGGTCTCGATCTGTTGTTCTTCTGAGGCATCTTGCTCCTCTTGCGCGCTCTTGGTCACACGCTCGAGTGTCGTTGAGCCTGGTAAGCTGTTCGTGAAATTCCGTACTATGGTCTGGCCTTGGAGACTGTCGATATCGGCTTGTGACATACTTTCCATGGTCTTCATCCTCGCGCGCTTTCGATTGTCTTTGGAAGATGGAGCAGTACACCGGCTGCATGCTGCCTCACGATACGGGTGTCTTGGACCGCTCTGAAGTTGTACAGAGTGCCTGGCACATATGCAGTCTACCTTGCGCTATCCGACTTGCATCGCCACGTCCATTCTGCACACCTGTACCTTGTTGAGCTCCTTGTACTAGCACAGCAGACGCACCGCGCGCTTACACTGAGCGATACACGATCCACAGAGTATCTATGCGGATCTGGCTTCACCGGTCAAGATCATTGATCCCTGAAAGGTTTGTTATCCGATGTTGCGTTACCCTCGTGATCACCCTCGTGATCCCAATTTATGCTGTCTCCCGCAGATGTCCCGGGGCCCACCCAAATAGGTTCACCGGCTCCAGTGGAGATGTATGTTCAGAGGGCGTGGACCTAATTCTGGCTATGGGCTCGAACTCGCGCGGCTTCGGCATAAACCTGTGCCTTACATCAAGACCTGGGCATGAAGACAAAATAACGACCAACGACAATCGCTATTCTAACCGCAGTCTGTACAGTCAACGATGGGTACGAATGATACCGTCGCGGCCATTATGGCCCCTGCTGCTCAGCCTCCTCACAATGATACTGGTCACGACACACACACGGAAGTCAAGAACTCCGGCGCAAGCGAAGAGAGCACTGAGAAGCTTGACGAGAAAGAAAAGGAAGGTCAAGATGGAAACAATGAAGGAGGTCTTGAAGCAGACCGCGACGAAGACGAAATACCAGAGTTGGACGCCTCACAGAAGGAAACTATGGCTATCGTCAACAATGCTATAACTGCCGCTACAGAGGTAGGGACGGAAGACTCACCGGATCTGAGCTTGGCAAACGGTGGGCTTCGACATATCAGTGTGAAGTTTGTCGGCACGGAGTATTATGTCATCCCTTGGTCAGCGTGTTACTCGTGGAAAGTATGCAAATCTTAGTCTGAAATACCCTGCATGTCACCGTACTGACTTTATTTGGTAGGTGGTCTTAGTTTTACTCAAGACATACTACTCCCATTCCAACAAAAAACTGGCCGATATAGAGTCCAACAATATTACTATTGAGAAGATCGGCCACGGATTGGTCTCTCCCGAAACCTGGGAGCACGCTGTTGAACACGGAAAGCAGTATTTCTTTTTCCCCCATTCCTCCTACGACTCGGATTCGGATTCGGATTCGGATTCAGAGCCCGATTGTCAGGATCGAATGCGTTACACTGTCAGCTACGTCGAAGTCAGCTCGAAAGACAGAGACGGCTGTTTGGTGGCAGAGCGCACATACGACGAACCTATGCAGGTCGGGACTGTTCACGATGATACAACAAGGCCAGCGTTGGAAGAGATAAAGACCGTTCAAACTCCACACTACCGGCAGATCAAAGACGATGCTGAAGCTGAAGTAAAGGCCAAGTTAGGGCCTCTCGATCGCGTTAGATCTACCAGCCTGAAGATCAATTCGTCGTATCTACTGAACATTTTGAAATCAGTCATCGAGTATGCGTCTAAATCCCCGGACGGAGAAGTGTTCGGTCTGGTCTCCGGCGAGTTCGACTATCCGTACAAGGATCTTTTCCATCACATGGATGATCTGATGAGATATAAGGCCAATGAAAGTAGCCTCCGGTCTCTACACTCCCCAAGCTTCAACGAGAGGGCTGATTCTCATATCGATTTGCTCATTGGTTATTTGAGCTCGCAACGCAAGATACCTTTTGGTGCAAGTGTCTCTACCCGGCGCGAAAAGCTACCCGTTACTACTTTCGCGGCATACTGGTTGCTCCTAAAGCCAGGGACGGATGTATACGTGCGCGAGGAAGACGGGTTGTTAAATGCATATATCGTGCATGCAGTCGATGGAGGCGTCATCGAGGTCGATGGAAAGGCGGTAAACGTCAATTACCAAGTATCCGTCTGGAATCTGATATGTGATGGAGAGTACGCGCGGCCTGTTGCTCGAAACATTACAGTCCCAATTTTCGACAACGAGAAAGAGGTGAAGGATCTGCCAGTTTTCCCTGTCGATTTCAACGACAGCTTTGACGGCGGCCGACTCAAACAGAAGTTGATAGACCGGGGCAAAAGATATCTTGCATACACAAGCCAGCCATGTTTCTTGCAGTACTCTGGTACAGGTTTGGCAGATGCGAAGGTATTGTCAGCACTGCATTAATTTCATAAGTTTGGTGGCTGAAAGCATGCAGTACAAACGAGCACGTGTTGTCGTTACACACGAAAGGATGCCTACCCACCTTACATCCCATAACGAGCATCGTGTACCAGAGATTGACGATACGTTGTGGAGGTCAATGCGTGTGGCAAGCTGTGAGTGCCATCCATGCGCAGATTCAAGCACGTCGCAAGGAAGCCACGGTAAAAACCGATTTCATGATTATTTCTGGATCCATGCGAAGAGCTCTGGGGAGATTTCTGCGCATCAGTATATGCTCATGGGGTCACATGTTTATGCTTTCATGTTGAAAGAGCGTACCTACGGTAAAGTCACTGTCATTTTAATCATCGGGTTGCTTACCATATGGTAGATTTACTGGCTGTTGAGGGGTTGGAAGAACCAGTTATGGTGGACACAGCGATTGATAGGCTTGTGATGGACAGTAACAACAAAGAGCTGATCAAAGCCGTAGCTCAGGTCTATACCGATAGCGATCGGCCTGATCGGTTCAGTGGTGACTTCATACGTGGAAAGGGCGAGGGCCAGATTATACTATTGCATGGGCCTCCAGGTACTGGAAAAACGCTCACAGCTGGTGCGGTCTGAAGTCATGTTCAAGTGTTGCAGTAACTAATGCGTCACAGAATCAGTTGCAGAATATACACGACGGCCGCTACTCAGCATCACTGCGGCTGACTTGGGCCACGAATCTCAAACAATGGAAAGGAGCCTCCTCCGATACTTCAAAGATGCGAGTGACTGGGGCGCTATAGTCCTTTTGGACGAAGCAGATGTGTATCTCGAGCAGCGAACAATGCACGACCTCAGTCGCAACAGCATTGTATCAGGCAAGTCTTTACCTTGAATATGTGCTGATCGACGCTTACTGTCACCATAGTGTTTCTCAGAGCTCTCGACTATTTCGAAGGCATACTTTTCTTGACCACGAATCGGGTTGGTCAATTCGACGAAGCCTTCATTTCGCGCATCCATCTCTCGCTCGGATACGACAAGCTGACGAACGAATCGCGTAGCAAAATATGGGACAACATGTTCAGGAAGCTCAAAGATGACCACAAGCGTGGCGGACGCGAAATCCTCTACGAGTATCACGCGAAGAGCTACGTCAAGAGCAAAGAAGTCCAGTCCTTGGAGTGGAACGGACGAGAAATCAGGAACGGTAAGTATCGCCGTATTAGCGCTTCGTGTAATACAACTAACCTTCTCGTTCGCAGCATTTCAAACTGCAGTCGCTCTCGCCATCTTTGACGCGAAGCGCGACAAGAAAGAGCCGCCTGAGATGACTGAGAAGCATCTCAACCAGGTTGTGCAGATGTCATCGGCTTTCCGAAAGTACATGACAGCAGCACACAGTGGTATGGATGATTCAACGTGGGCGTTCAAACATGGCAATCGAGAGGACAAATTTCCGAGCACCCCAGCCAAGACAGATGACTGAGTCTCAGCACCAGGACAGCTACTAGTGAAGGCTACAACTCGTGTTGCGTTGTACTAGTATATCATTGTACCCAGAAGTATACTTTATCTTGAAGACTGCTCAATGATGAACTTGCAATCACATGTATGCAGCAAAGTACAACACAGGATATGACCACCTCTAACCCATGTCACAATCTTGTGCGCACTTTGCCACTCAACGCTCGGGGCAATGCCTCTGGATGTGGCGTTTATAAAGCTGTCCGCACTATACTCCGGTCTTCTTTTCTCAATATGTGTATCCAGACCTCGATACTGGTGCTTGCAGTTATTGCCGCTCTTAACACCAACGATCAAGACAACTTTAACTGAGGCGTTGTCCTCACAAGTTTAGCTGTAACTATCGTGACATGCGTTCAGGGTAGCATCATAGTTATCTGATGGCATTCTCCGAGCACCCGCGTTGGTCATGGCTGGCTCTTCGCGACGGTACGTTGTCTGGTACAAAAGACGGCCTCGACGGGTCCATGTTATTGTAGAATTCGATTTTCGAATTTTCGAAAGAGAAAGCAAATCTCTCACACATGGAAACTTTTCGTTGCTGTTTAAAAGTGTAGTTCTCGATGTTGGAGAAAGAGTGACGGGTGGGCCAGGAAGGCGGAGCGGACGGTCTTTATACACATTGTCTCCACTTCGACATGACCACTCATCGGCTACGTTGTGATACTGTTGCACGACGACACACATGGATCCTGAATGCTTTTGTTTTGATAGTTCCGCAGATATCATCTCTTCAGGAAGCTCTCTTGAGTCTCGAGACATGGATCGTGACTCTCGTCATTTGGAGACATCGAGAACGCGAACCAGACTCGCGCACATAACTTCATCTTGTAAATGTTTGGAAACGTAAATTTTGAAGTTGAGGAAGGAGTAAAGAGTCGAAGGTAACGGCGGAGTACATATTTATACTAGCGCCAGAGCTCCGATGCTCGGCAGTCTTTTGGGCTCGAGATGCAAGGCAAGAACATGTGCAATCCTCCACCCAATGTTGAAATGTGATGTGATGGCTATGAGAGATAGCAGATGTGCGCAATACAAGCAAGGAAGCTCGAAAAAGTCCAAAGAATATACATGTGCGAGCTCTCGAGTTACCGTGTAGCTGGGCCATGTCGGAGGATAGTCCTGTTTCCGTTGAGACATCGAAGATGCGAACCATTTTTCCAAAATTGTCTAAAGCTAGCTCTCGGAAAGCCACAAGAACATGCGCGATGTGTTTTAACATCTAGTTTTGAGAGAGGAGGTCATGGGTCGAACGTGAATGTCATTTGGAACGCTCTTTTTGTGAAGTTGGGAATGAAGAAGGGTTGTGGGTGGTTCGACGAGCAATTTATAGACCAAAGGACGAGAGGTTCAAAGACCGGCCATGCCGAAATCCATGAGAATATTAATCATGGTGGTAAAAATGTCTGATTCAAAATATACATCAGTTCGACAGCACCTCAACGATGTTATCCCAGAAACCCAAATCGTACACATTCTCTACCGCCGCCAGATTCCACACACGCTCAAAGCTATCTTCTCTAGCCACTGACTGTATGCGGCTCGGAAGTGTTTTAGGCGATTGACCATTTCGCGTACGGATGAGAATGTGTCTGCTTTCCAGCGGCCAGGTGGTTGGCGGCTCTTCGTCTTCTGGCGGGGTTTCCGGAGGAGTCGGGAATGGCGACGTTGACGAGGAAGAATGCGCGGAGGCATGTGTATGGTTCCGAGGAGGCGTTGCTGAGCGATACTCTTGCATGGTATCGTCCCGCCTATGGCCCAGGAAAACGACGCCATCGGCCATGTCGTCTCGCCAGTCCGCCCACTTGGCGCTCTCGTTCGTAGTCATGCCGGCCCAGATCAGGTAGACGTGGTATGCGAGCAGACCCAACGGAAGTGGCCATGTGAGAAGAGCTAGCAACCCGACTCCTGATCCGCGCACCCCGCCCATGTCGAGGTAGATGGTTGTGTAGATCAGGAAGTAGTGCGTCTTCCTGTCAAAGTATCCGAACCAGCTCTTTGTGTTGACCCCTTGCTTGGGGCTGTATCTATACCATCCTTCGTACTTCAGGTAATGTCTGTGAACCAACGGCGAAAGGCTGTAGTAGGCCAGATATGCGCCATACGCGATCAATATGCCGGTGGATAGCAGCAGGGCTAGAAACCACTTGTAGTTGCCCCGCCCCAGGCAGTTATTGACCCATATGCAATGATGGTCCATCCTCGACACGCATGTCTTGCATATACTGCAATGCTTGCTCCGCGCTGGCTTCAAGAATTTGCATGTTCGGCATGGCGTGCCTGGATAGTACAGCACCCTGTCGTACGGGTAGTGTCGCATCTGCTCGGCATGATTGAGCGTGGTGATGTATGTCTGGCTGTTGCTTTTCGCGCTGAGATATAGGAAGATGTACGGCTGCGGCAGCAGAACGAAGGCTAGGAGCTTGTGATGCGGGCGGATGAGGTGCCAAACGGTGGGCAGGAACAGCGTCGCGCATGCGGTCACCAGGCCGAGGAAGAAGATGACGACCAACGGGTGCTTGTCGTGCATGAGGTAGTTGCCCAGGCGGGCGCCACCATTGGTAATGCGGCCATTGGTGAGGGCGAGGTCGAGCTTTCGGAACGCTGAGGGGATGTGGATGAGAAAGAGGCGGTTAAGGAAGCCTATGGGCGTGTTTCTGGGAATGTTAGAATGGATGATGCGAGTATGAGGGGTGTAGATACCTAAAAGCCGGCAGTCGTCCGAAGAAAGCTACAAAAGTCACCAGCGACACTGTGATGGTGAAGATGATGATGGTGCGGGCGACGGTCATGGTGAAAGAGACCAGCAGACTGCGACACTACGCATGGCGGAACAGAATGAAGACGCGGATCGAAGCTCTATGGCATCACGTCGTGCTCTGTCTGTCAGTTCACAGAGGTGACAGCGCAAGCGTCGGATGGACTGAGCAGCCGCGGAGGCTAAGCGACCCCGCGTGAATCATGCGTCCCATGTGAGCACGCGTCGCGCCTGAGCCAACGCGTCATTCACCACCACCATAACCCGACAACACCACCCCACTATGGCTGGGCCGACCGTATACACCGACGTCGCCGAGGATTTCGATTTCGCATCAGGCGGCCAATTATTCGCTGGCAAGAAGTTCTGGGTTGCGCAGCGCGTGGCGTCGCGGAAACGGCTGCTGGACGACATCAAGGCCAACGGCGGAGAGATCGTGGCGTTAGAGAAGAAGGCGGACTACCTCATCGTCGACCACGCTCGGAGAGATTGTCCCCCAGGATCAACGTCGTATGAATTCATAGAAAAGTCCATCAAGGAGGGAGAACTCCAGGATCCCGAAGACTACACAGCCGGACCACCGTTAGGTGAGGCGCGAGAGGCTGGTTCCATTCATCAACCCACCAAGAGCGGAAGGACAGCGTACACAGCAGAGGAAGATAGGATACTCTCCAAATGGGTACGCGACGCCCAATCAAAAGGTGCTTCCGTCAGTGGGAACGAGCTATACAAGCAACTCGAAGCCAAGGTATGCGCCAACAAAGAAAACGCGCGCGGGAGTGGTCGCTAATGAACGACAGTACCCACGGCATACATGGCAGTCATGGCGCGACCGATGGGTCAAGACACTTAGCAAACGTCCGCTCTCGGCTTTCACGATACCTGATAACGCTCCTCCGTCTCCTCCTTCCGATCAGTCGAACGAACGTATGCCCCCAGTTCCAGCCCCCTCCAAGCCTACAGAACAGCAAATACCTAAAACAGAACAGACTTCAAGTGAGACAAACCTCGATAAGATGGGCAAAACAAAAGCGAACAGCATCTATAGTATGGAAGAGTTAGAAGTTTTGTTCAGCACAGACGACTGGCTGGAATTATATGCTTTTGTAGAGTTCATCGATGGCGTGGAAGGACAAGACGATTGCCTCTCTGCTTGGGATGGGTGGGCCGAGAATCAGGGAAACCAAACTGCCGAGCAGTGGCGGCAGTATTACGAGAAGGTAGTCCGTCCACAGTGGTTGCGCGATCCGATATCGAAAAGGGAGAAGATCAGGAAGAAGATGGAAGAAAAGCACGATGCCGCAAACGCAAGGCGGAGTCAGGCGCTCAGTCAGCATCCAGCAGAGATCGAGAAACCAGACGAAACACTGTCACAACCTTCTCCAACAACACGAAATAGAGTGGAGCCGGTACAGCGGTCAGCCTCTGAGGGAGCGAACTCTGAGGAATTACCGCAACCCCGAAACCCACCCAAAATCGCGTCAGAGCCTAAGATGCCGTCATCATCCACTGCTCGCCAAGAATCTCCGAACTTTTACGATGAGCAGCTCGCCAGGTACACTAAGCGATTACGGGAAGACAATTTTGTGAAACAGGAAGATGAGGAAGAACTAGCTCCTCCCACCAAACGGCGGAAGAGCGGAAGCGCGACGCCTACCCAGGAAGAGCCAGTGCAACCAATCAAAGCCGAGGGCACGCAGAACCAGCCTGTGGAGATATCCTCTGCTGCGAGTTCCCAGACTGATTCGACGTCGGAAGATGCCGAAGAGCTGATGCAAGAGCAAATACGGTCCCAAGAGCTCGATGCGGTAGATGAAGATGCTACTGTCTTCAACATAGACGAGAACCTGAAGGAAGTAGAGGTGGGAAGCATAGAGTCAGATGACTTTCCTGACATTGATGAACTACACCCACTCTCACCACCGCCAGAGCAAGACTCGATATCTGGCGATGATCTGCCCTCAAATACACCCACACCGCGTGCTACCCGACAAAAGATTTCTAATTTCGACACTCAAGCCATCCTATCATCGCCGACACAAGACACGTTCTCAAGACCACAAGACTTCGTCCCCAACATGAACCCTCGCCAACCGCAGCGGTTCTCATCACCACCCGAACAACCACCATCCGACGCGTCGACGACCCAATCCATGGAAGAGTTTCGCCGCTCCCTCCAAGAAGAAGGCGAAGAAGAAGACCCA